CATCGTCTCCTGATGAGTAACACGTTCATATGGGTACTCAAAAATATGGGCAAATGTGTAATGCTTGCAAGCTGTGTTCCATTATTGATGCTACGCTTGAGAGCCAGGCAGGCAGCTCAAGCCGGGCCGGGACTCAGCAAGAGGCAATGACACAGCAGCCCTGCGAGGCAGCCATCTGCTGGCCCCACGGGTGGGGCAGCCCAGCCCACGAAGCCCGCTCACAACGGGCACTGAGGAGGCCATGTGAGGAGCAACTTGGACTCTGGAAACTGAAGTCCCGAGGTCTGGAACTTCCCTTCTTCCTCTCCCACGGTCAGCTGTGGGCCGTCTCTGCCTGGGGTGATGGAGGGCCTCCCTGCCCAGGGCTGTGTGGGGACCAGGCCAGATGTTGCAGGAGGAACCCGTGGCCCACGCGGCCCACGTGGCCCACAGAGACGCTGAGGTCACCTTGTCGGTTGTGCTCTGGACTGGGCTTGAAGTGAAATGCGAACCCCTGTTTTTCCCTATCTCCACCTTCCTGCTATTTGGGTGTCCTAAGAGGTGGCCCTGCTGCCGGGCACAGACTCACTACCGGGGGCCCCCGAATGCCCAGGACAGGCCCCTCCCCCCTGTGGATTCCTGTTGCCTGGTGGGAGGGAAAGACTGGGGGGGGGGTTTGGTGGGCTGGGGGGGCCTGCTGCTCCTTTATTGTTCCTGCCTTCTGGAGACTTCACAGCCAGCACCTGGGAGGGAGTTGTTTCCACAGGCCACAGGGTGGCAGGGTGGCTGGGTGAAGTGCCCCCGCATCTCTGCCTCCCCGTCCCCAGGAACCCAGCTCCTTTAGTAGAATCCCTCCTCTGGGACCTGGGAGTGGGGGTCACCCAGAGCAGTCTCTGCACCCGGCAGCCCCCAGGGACCGGGGAGACAAACCTCACGGAGGCAGAACTCGTGGTACAACCAGAGCAGGAGAGACTTGAAGACTAGGGGTGGCGTGTGCTCCCTGCAGCTGCGCTCTGTGGGGCCTCACTCTGGCGCTTGGCGCTGGTTCCCCAGGGCAGGGCAGCCAGGCCCTGGATGATGAGGTGAGAATGTAACTGCTCCCTGCGGATGGGGTATGCAGGGCGAGCAGGGGCCTGCCCAGACCAGCACGGGGGTGAGCTGGAGCAAGCAGGACACAGGAATGTCCCCCAACCTGCCCAAGAAACCTTTGCTGGAGATGTGCATCGGTGGCCCCCCACGAAGTAGGGCTCACCTGTGATTATGGAGCATTACGAATGCCAGGCTTCCTTGGTCTGAGTGAGACAAGAGTCACGGACAGGGTCCTGCCCTGGGCGGCTCCTGGCCTAGTAGGAGAGACAGGGGTCCCGGAAACGAGCCCATTACCAGATGATTCCAGGAGTGAGACAGACCTGGAAGACACTTGCCTTAGCTAGCAACAGTGTGAGGAGGGGCGCACTTGGGAGGGGCCTCCCAGAAGACCTGGGCCTGGAGTTGAGACCTCCATGGTGGGAAGAACGACCACCAAGCTTCCCGGGCTGGGACAGCACAGGCCAGGCTGCAGGCCGGCAGCCTGGCAGGGTCAGGAGCAGAAGAGCTCTAGGGCCGGCATGTCCTGCGTCAGAGGAAACCCCGGCACGGAGCTGCAAAGGGCCCGACTCCCTGAAAGTGTGAGCTTAGGACACTGGTGAGGGCTGGACTTTACTTAGCTCCTGCAGGAAGCTGCTGGGAGTGCCAGGCTCCAATTAGCACCTTTTAAGGATTGCCCCAGTTGATAGGTGGAGGATGAATTTTAGGGGTGAGAGATTAAGCAGGACCCGCTTGGAATCGCTTGGAGGACAGACAGCCCTCGTGGTTGATGGGACACCATGGTTTGGGCTGGGGATACTGACTGGACAGTGAGGCCATTTCCTGAGCTGGGGGAGGCTGGGGGGATCCAAGTGGAGGGGCAGCCATGTGGGGTGCCCTGCAATTTGAAATGTCTATTGGGCAGCAGGCAGGGCCACCCCCAGGCCACAGCTGTCTCACCCCAACTTCCCTGAGGGGTTCGGGAGCTGGACCTGGAACCACTGATGAGACAGTAAGCAGAGCAGCGCCATCACCACGTTAGAGGACAGGCAGCTGTGAGGTAGGGCAACCAGAAAGCCGGGCCACTCGCGAAGGGGAAGGCTGTTTCCAGATAACTGTGCCTCCTCTACCCTCGGGCACCATCGCCAGCGTCCCGGGCGTCTTAGTGCGCTGGAGGCCACGGTGCCTGCCGCGCCCCACTGACCGCCTTTGCGGGCCTTCTGCACCCTCCCCAGCGTCCTCACTAGAGAGCACCACCCCTCTGCTGCTGCGGGTCCCTGCTGGCCGGTGGTCCCGGAGCGGCTGCTGCCTGGCAGCGCTCTGCTGTCTCCTCTGTCATGGAGACGGCAGCAGCTGCAGGCTACGGGCGTGTGTGACCATTTGTCAGAGGCTCCCTTCCTCCCCGGCCTGCCCTTCTGGAACATTTCTATCCCACGGCCCTGGAGACAGGGCTCATCTGGTGGTGGGGGGTGGGGAGTGGGGTGGCTGGGAGCAAGAGGAAGTGCTGTCTGTCTCTGAGAGGGGGGTACTGACTGGACAGTGAGGCCATTTCCTGAGTTGGGGGAGGCTGGGGGGATCCAAGTCGAGGGGCAGCCAGGCGGGGTGCCTTGCGGTTTACAATGTCTGTGGGGCAGCAGGCAGGGCCACCCCCAGGCCACAGCTGTCTCACCCCAACTTCCCTGGGGGTTCGGGAGCTGCACCTGGAGGCACTGATCTAGAGGGGGGCCCTCCGCCCCCTGAGAGCTGGTGGGCCTGGCAGCGCCCCAGTGACACATACTGTACACCTCACGACACTCGTCATTGTTCTTGGTGGCAACCCTTTGAGGAGCCCTTTGTAGGTTAAGTGTGGCCCCTGATTAAGAGGTGAAACTGTCACCCAGACGTGGGTTATACGGCCTCTCATGTTCACCCCTGTCTGAGGAGCAGAGCACCCCCTGGCCCTGGCAGAGCCCTCTGCGATCCCGCCCCTCACCCCTGCAGCTTAGTTTGGTGCTGTCTGCTGATTTCCTGCCTCCCCCCCCCTCCCCAAGTCTGCCTTTCCCACTGGGCTGGGCTGGAGGCTGCTGGGCTGGGCTGGAGGCTGCTGGGCTGGGCTGGAGGCTGCTGGGCTGGGCTGGAGGCCGCTGCCCACTGCTTGCACTTGGTGGTTTGGCCTCTCCAGTTACCAAAGGCTCTGGGGTTTCTCTGGGGCTGGGGGTGGGGAAGAAGCTTCTCAGGCCTGCTGGTATCCCAGGGAAGCAGGAAACCAGACCCTGATAGTGCGGACTGGAGGGCAAGGTCAGTGACCGAGGGGGGACGTGACTCGGGCACGTTGGCTTGAAATGTGACTCCAATCGTTCAGCCCATGAGAACTTGAGACCTCAGACCCCTTGTCCCCACATGTCATAGGCCTAATCTGTGGGTGCTTCCTGGGAGCAGAGACTAGGAGCTGGGCAGACAGCTTCCCCCCTAGCTGGAGAGGGTGGGGTGCTCCCCACTCCCCCTACTGGCCTGCTTGTGTGAGGCCCTGCCAGCTTCCTTCCTGGTTTGCAGACCTCCTGCAGGAAGTCCTGCAGACCCTGTCCCTCGAGGCCCAGCCCCTGTAGGCACGGTGGCACGCTGGGGTGTCAACAGGCTTCCTATGAGCCTGTCACTGTTAATGTCACCTTGGCTCAGGGACCCTGGCAACTGCTGTTCATTCTCTATGTTCCCTGTTCACCATTTTATCTTTTAAAAAGCATACATATTTATGGCCCTCCCTGGTGTCGCAGCGGGTTAAAGCACTATACCAGGAAGCTAAAGGCACTTCCGCATGAGTTCAATTCCTGCCTGCCCTGGAGGTGACCACATGGCGCGGCAGACCTCTCCTGACCCGCCCGCTGCTCCCCTCAGCAGTGTACTTCGTTGATCTGCCTGTTCTGCTCCCTGCTCTCTATCTGGTGAACCCTCTCACTGCCCCTGCACCTCTGGCCTGTACCCCAGTGCTGTACACATAAATAAATAAATCTTTAAAAAAAAAAAGCATACATATTTATTTATGCATACAAGAACTGGGTACAGGCCAGAGGTGGTGGTGGGGGAGGTGAGGAATGGGAGGATTTGCCAGAGATGGAGCGGGGAGCAGAACAGGCAGATCTATTGAGACACACTGCTGAGGTGAGCAGTGAGTGGGACAGGAGAGGTCTGCCATGTCATGTGGGTCAGCTCCCTGGCCAGGGATGGACCTCGCGCTGAGTGGCTGAGGATCACTTCATAGTGCTGCGCTTTAACTTGTTGCATCACAGGGAGGTCCCCTTTCATCATTTTATAAGATGCAGACACCTTGCTAACAAGCCCAAACCTCACCCCCTCGTGACCGCCTGCAGAGAAAAGTCGGAAGGCAATGTGCACCCACCTAATCTTGGGGCCTCGTCAAGCCGCTTTGCTGGAGTTTCATCGTCTGAGCAACAAAGGTGACACTCCATGCTGCCAGGAGGGTTCTCTGGCCCACCTGTACCTGAGCCCTCTACCTGCAGGCAGCTCTGGGCAGGGGTGCAACCACACAGCACAAACAAGCCTTGACGAGCGTTCCCATGTGGGGCCTCACACCCACATGGCCAGTGTGCATTACCTGTCCCATGAAGATAAGCTCCATCTGAAAATAAAACCAGGAAGGGGCAGGCAGCTTGGAATTGGGGGGCCACATGGTGGTGAAAAGTGGGGAATCTGGATGATAACTCAGGGCTCTTGTGAGGGCTTGAGTACCCAGAGTCATACTGTATGTCAGGAATTCCTTTTTTTTGGCCTGGGGCCAAGGCCCTGGGGCTCTGGATTGCACATTGGTGGGGGCCTGGGTCTCCCTTAGGCCTCAGAAGCGGGTCCAGCTGCAGCCCCAAGAGAGAGCAGCTTCCCTCAGGGCTGCCCACCAGGATAGGGCCCCTGACTGAATACCAGAGGCCCCGGACCCGGGCCGTGACCCCCGTTCCCCGGTCTTCCAGGCAGCTGTGCCTCCTGCTGAACGCCGAGAACATCTTCCACTCGATGGCCGACATCCTGCTGCGAGAGGAGGACCTCAAGTTCGCCTCCACCATGGTGCACACCCTCAACACCATCCTGCTCACCTCCTCCGAGCTCTTCCAGCTCAGGAGCCAGCTCAAGGACCTGAGGACTCTGGTAC